CCCGCTCGCACCCAGTGCTCCCGGTGAGGTCCCCCCAGAGCGGAGGGGCACAACGAGCTCTTATGATCTGCCAGCCATGCTGCCTTTTGTGCAGCCCAGGATGTGACTGGCCTTCTGGGCTGTGAGCATACATTGGTGGCTCATATTCAGCTTTTTGCCCAGCAGTACCCTTAAGTCCTTTTCTGCAGGGCTGTTCTCTAACACATCAACCCCAGTCCTTGTTGATAACGAGGATTGACCTGACTCAGGTGCATGAACTTGCACTTGGCCTTGTTGAACTCCAGGGGGTTACATGTTTCCAGGTTGTTCAGGTCTCTCTGGCAAAATTGTCGTCTCTCTGGCATGACAAGCACCACCCAGCTTGGCATCATCTGCCAAGTTGTGGAAGTTGGAAGGGACCTCAAATATCATCTGGTCCAACCCTTTAAGGTAAAGAAATACAGTTTACAGGAAATTATCTTTAAATGGCCCTGTCAAGCTGAGCCTTCAAACTGTCGAAAGCTGAGGAATCCACCACTCCCTTGGAAGACTATTTCAGTTTCTAATTCCTCTCGTCATGCCGAAAAGCTTTCCTCTGGAGTCCAATTGGAATCTCCCCATGAGAAATTTGCCCCCATTACCCCTTGTCTTTTCCACGTGACTCCTTGTAAAAAGGGAGTCTCTGTGTTCTTTCTGGCCATGCTTTATGTCCTGGTATATGGTAAGAAGGTCCCCCTAAGCCTTCTCTTCTCAAGACTGAATAAACCCAGCTCCTTCAGCCTTTCCTCTTATGGCAGGACTTCTAGTCCTCTGATCACCCTCATGACCGTTCTCTGGGCCCTTTCCAGCTTGTATGCATATTTTTTGTACAGCAGGGACCAAAATTGAACACAGCACTCAAGGTGTGGTCTGACCAGCGCTGAGTAGAGTGGCATGATGTCTTCTTTATCTCTGCTGGTGATGTCCTTGTTCATGCAGCCCAGTATCCTGTTGGCTTTTTTGCCACCGCAGAAACCGTTCGCTCCTACTGAGCCTGTTATCCCCTGAGACCCCAAGGTCCCTCTCTCCAGGGCTGCTCTCCAGCCAGGTGGATCCGAGTCTGAGCTGCATTTGTGGGTTGTGTATTCCCAGGTGCAAGACCTTACACTTGTCCCCATTAAACTTCATAAGGTTCCTGCTTGCCCACTCCTCCAGGCTGTCCAGGTCTTCCTGGAGGATGGCTCTCCCTTCTGGAGTGTCAAATTCCTCGCTCATTTTTGTCTCATGATGAACTGTTCCATCAGTCTCCCCAGCACCGACATCAAACTAACAGGCCTGTAGTTTCCTGGATCCTCCATCCGGACACAGATCTTCGTGATGCCACACAGCGAATAATAGAAATCAGTTCATAGTGTGCACATATAGCCCACCCTCCTTCCTTCCTAAAAAACCCATCCTTTGAGAGTCACTCCTTGCTAAAACCTCAACCATACAGACACACTCAGCTCTGCCTGGTTATACCCTGCTGCTCCCCTTTAAGGTCACGGAGCTTCCTCTTACTGAAGTGATATGAAGATAATCAACAAATGCAATCGAATACTCACGTTTAGTCTGTCTCTTTGTCTTCTTGAAAGTGGATTGGCAAACCTGGTTCTTATTTCATGTAACCACAGAGTCACAGAATCATAGAATCATTAAGATTGGAAAAGACCTCAAGGATCACATAGTCCCAAAATCTACCCAACAGTACCATGAGCACTAAACCATGTCCCAAAGTGCCACCTCTGTACTGGTTTTGAAAGTATGAAGACTTATTGTGGGGTTTCTAGGAAAGGATTAAAGGCAGAGAAAGGAGGGAAACAAGGTTGGCCGGGGATGAAATATGCCTAAAAACGACCAGTCACATCTGAAAAGGTTGCTGGTAAGAACTCTTGCCTGGCCATGTCCCAGACTGTCCTACCTCCTTACTAAACCCCTTTTAACAATTTCCTGAGGGGATCTCTGCTCTTTGTACGTAGGGAGCTGTGAGTGCCAGGCTCTGGCGTGGGGACTACAGGTCATAGGGTTTCATGTTAGTGAATATCCAGCTGGTGTAACAGGTGAGTAGGATAAGGGGCCTGGGAGCCAGATATCAGAAAGTCTAGACCAGAGAGCAGAGAGTCCAGAGGTCCTGGGAGTTGACCACTGGAGAGAGCAGGTGGTCCAAAGCACCTAGAGGCAAAACTGTGGGGTTCTGGGGTACTGGTGCCGCTGAGGTCATAAGTTTATACCAAGAGAGGAAGTAACACTATATTTGCCATGCCAAGTACCTCAGATAGACCTCTAGAGGTTTGTGCTGGGTGCTTATGGTCACACCTGGGAGTCCACCATGAAAACCTGGGAACTGCACTCAGTACTTAAAAATAAAAGAAAAAAATAAGAAAATATAACACTTTTTACCAACTGAAATGTTTTAATGTTGTTTAATGTTGTTGAGGTCTGGAAAACACGCCCTATGAAGAGTGGCTGAGGGAACTGGGTTTGTTTAGTC